TACAGGGGTGATGACCTGCATCGCGATGCCGTCCGCGATTTCTTTACACGCTTTTACCCCGATCGCGTCGTCGAGGTGGCAGAAAACTCTTTTGTCGTCACCTTTGAGAAGGAGAGGGATCGCGACGCCGCTTTCGACATGGCCCCGAGACGTCTTGCCAATCAACAACTCCAACTTTGTTGCATTGAGTATGCCCACCGCTCTAGGCGGAAGCACTCCCGCTTTCAGGACTCCACCTATCACCATTCGCGTCGCGATGGAGAGGAGCGAAGGCCATGGCGCGACCACTCCCCCAGACATCGGAAGTATCGCAGAACCGCCGAGGACGACAACGATGAGGAGCGAAGGGCTACGCGCCGGCCTAGTCGGGAGAGAGAGAGAGAGAGGTGCCGTACAACAAGTCGCGAGAGAAGCCGGGATCGACGACGTCACACAAGCCGCGAAAGAAGGTCCGACCGAAGCCGTGATCCCAGTCGAGAGAGATGGTATGAAAGAGGATTGGATACGAGTCGTGAAAGAAACCGCTGCCGAAGCCGCGAAAGGAGGCGCGATAGAAACCGTGATTTCAGTCGAGAGAGACGGTTCGAGAGAGATTGGGACTCCTATGACGAGAGAAGGCGTGACCGAAGGCGCGAAAATAGCAGAGATCCTTCTCGGGAGAGAGCCTTTAAGAGAGGACGGGACACGGGTCGTGAAAGAGGGCATGGCCGAAACCGCCAAAACCAGCGCCCCGAGAGTTACGGCGAAAGCCCGATCAGAGCACACGAGAAGCGACGAGACGCGAGCCGCGAACGGAGACGAGATGCGAGGCTAGACCACAGACGAGACGTGAGCCGTGAACGACGACGAGACTTTAGTCGTGAGCGGAGGCGAGGCGTGAGCCGTGAACGACGACGAGATGTTAGTCGTGAGCGGAGGCGAGGCGTGAGCCGTGAACGACGACGAGACATGAGTCGTGAGGGGAGGCGAGACGTGAGCCCTCAAGGAAAGCGGGATACAAGTCGTGTACGAAGGAAGGAGAGAAGCAATGAAGGGAGCCGTGAGCACGGTCACGAACAACGTCGTGGTACACAGCACGAAACCCCCCGCGATTTTCACACCCGCCCAAGCCAAACGGATGCTGAGACCCTGCGACGCTCTGATGAAAAGCACAGCCCGCGGAAGAAGTTCCATTTTGAGGGGGCCAGTGCGTTGCGCACCGAGAAGGAGGCCCATACCAAACCGAGTTCTTTGAAACCTTCGACAAGTCAAATGTGGACAAACAACGACACTTCCGCTGACAACGTGGAAAAGGATATTCATACTATTGTTTATGAGGAAATCCGACAGCACATTCTCGTACGCCAGGAACGCCATCTCGAAGTTTTTGTGAACAAAAGAGTGATGGAGTACGTCAAAGAACGCAAGCTCAGAGAAGAACGAAAGGCCAGCAAATCCCAACTCCCCAAGGAGAAAAAAGCAAGCGCTGCTACAGAAATGCGCACTTCACGAGCAAGCAATGACTACTTGGATGACTATTTTCGCAGTGCGAGCCGACCGAAGAAAGCGGGTGAGAAGAGGGAGGAGATCTCTGCGTCGTTGAGCGGAACGAGCCGACGCGAAAGACTTACGAGAAGCTCTCTCGATCGCGCGAAGTTGAAGACAGTCCCAGAAAGCACTCGCTCAGACGTTGTGACAAACAACCTTGATTCGTCACACTCCAACCAGAACTCGGATGGTCAAAGTCAGTCCAGCAAGGTCCCCACAAACGAAATTCCTACATCGGCGGCTATGACTTGGAGCTCAGATGATTCTATGGACGTCGAGGCGCACACTTCTAATCTGATTGTGGAAGATCACAGAACGGCAAGCTCAACGGTACACAGCACATCCATGCTCAACAAGCTGGCACATCCTAGTGAGGTCGGCGATGTGAAGGGATCCTCTCAATGCATGGGACAAGAGCCTTTGGGTAAATGCGATGCACTCCGAGAGCACGACGAGTACGAAAACTCTGATTCATCAATGCCCGTGGATCTCCATCCGCGGCTAGGTGGGAACGTTGCAGCCACCAAGAGAAAACGAACTCAAATTCAAAGTTATCACGAGAGTTCAGACGAAGAAGATGATTCTAAGACCGACCAGTTACAGGCATGCAAGCGCCGGAAACCGATTGAAGTATCTCCGAGAGAAACAGCGGTTGCATTTTCGGATGCAGTCAATGGTGCCCCGGTCTCTCTTTGCGATATGTCCAAACTCAAAATTTCAAAGAGTTCCATGGGCACAGTTGAACCGGCAAAGGCTGATCTTGTTGCAGTCGCAGAAAAAACAGAATCAAAGAGTGCACGAACTGCGGGTTACGACAAAAAAGAATGGCGGGCTGCCTCCAAACAACTCAAGAGCCACCATCAGTCTGAAAACCGTTCGTTGGAATATTCGAAGCGAGAGAATAGGCAACTCAACCGATCACTTCGGAAGCAACTAAGGATGATCAATCCCAAGAATGACCTATTCACAGCAAATAGTCTGAAGCAGCGCAGGCAACCGGTAAAGTATCGAAAGTCAATCATTCACGGCATGGGCCTCTTCGCCCTCGCACCAATTGAAGCCGGCGAGTTTGTAATCGAGTACATCGGTGAAATTATTCGCGGCTCAGTAGCAAACCTGCGCCAGGAAAAGTACACAAGACGGGGTATGGGAGACTCCTACTTATTCCGCCTGTCAAACGGTATGGTACTGGATGCCACGCACAAAGGATGTATTGCGAGGTTCATTAACCATTCGTGCGATCCAAACATCACCGCAAAGATCATATCCATTGATGGTGAAGACAAGATTGTCTTTTACAGCAAGAGAAACATCAAGAAAGGAGAAGAGTTGACATACGACTACAAGTTCGACTTTGAAGCCGAAGATCTGAAAATCCCATGCCTTTGTAAGGCGTACAATTGTAGAAAGTTTTTGAATTAGACAGAAAGCCCGATTTTTAGCGAAATAGCGCTCCCGGTTTTGGCATCACGGTAGCATTAGAGTTAACCTTTTCACAACCTAACACATTATTATCATTCAACCTTATCCCGATTGCTCTTATAAACTTCTCACATTAATCCGCGCTTACCGTATCACGTTAGCATAGGGCCAAAGCTCAGCTTTGAAGTTTTCGTGTGCCTAAAGTTAATCTCTCTCAAGTCAGCGGTTCGCCACCGCGGACTTCTTTCCCGCTCTCGTATGTTGCAGCAGCATTTTTTGATGCCCTGAGACGAGACTAGCTAGTGTCCACCAGCCTTGTAACGTCTGATACGATACAATCCTGTCTACTTGCACATCTGTCAAGAGCTCGCACACCTCTGATGTCCACCTGCCCTTGACCCGATCCATCTTGGACGCCGTGCCTAAGTTGAAATCTACCATATCAATGTTCGCCATTCCCCCATCTGCACCCCCCTTCTTGCGCGCGCCGCCCGCGCGACACAATCGACATCGAGCGCGCCCGTCGCCGCGGGCGGCGGGGTTTTGCCCGTCCCCGCCAAACGCATGGACAGCGCGCGTGTGCCCGCCGCGTTCCAGTCGCGTGGCGGACGCTTCTCCGCCGCGACTCTACTTGCTCACGCGCGCGCGCGCGGTGCGCATAAAAGTCGGGGCCGCCGCGCGCCGCGATCCGCGGGCAAGCATCCCCCCCGCCCCCGGCACTGGCAGCGCGCGAGGATGAGCGGCGGCAGCAGCAGCAGCGGGATAGAGGGCGGGGGCGCGCTCGAGGGGCTGGACAGGCTGCTGCCGCCGCTGGCGGAGCGCGGCGGCGGCGGCGGCGGCGGCGGCGGCGGAGCAGCGGGGCGTAGGCTGAACGCGATGTCGCCGTTCTCAGAGAATTTCGAGATGCTGCCGGTGGGGTGGGACGCGGCGGCGGGTGAGGGCGGCGGAGAGGGCTCTGACGGTGGGACACGGGCTGGCCTGGCGGCGGCGGCGGGCCAGGCGGGCGAAGGCGAAGGCGAAGGGGCGGCGGCGAAAGCGGCGTGCGTGGCGGAGCGGAGGGCGAGTGCGGCGCAGAACGGGGCGGGCGCGAGGCGGAGCCGCGAGGAGAGGAAGGTGCGGGAATCGCGGAAGACGGCGTGGAGATGTGGAAGAGAAAGTACGTAGCGTGAAGGAGGGCGTGATTTCACGCCCTCCTATTCACCAACGATGCAAGTACTGTAGTACTTTACTCCTTTCAAAAGGAGTACAGTACTACTTGCATCGTTGGTGAGTTACAGAACCCTTGGGTAACAGCGAGGATAGTTTTCCGTGGAAACGTGTGACTGGTGTTCCAGCAGAGTTGCAGCTGCCACTGCTGAATCGAGAAACTCATACAAGTTCCATACCCCAAAAGTTGAACACGTTCCCAAAAGTTGAACAAAGCAAAAATTTGTAATTTTTATCAACTAGAGTACCATTTCAAGTGCGGATAGCTCTCGGTTGCAACAACATTCAATTCAGCGATGAAACTGTCAGCTAAATATATATACAAATCTCATAATCAAGTCTGCCGCCCTCCGTTTTCATGGAATACATCCTTCAACAGGTGTGTTCCAATGCTGGGAACAGCCCAACTCAACTTCAAACCGCACCGATCTGTCTCCTCAGTGCACTGTAGTGTCGAGGCATGAAGTCTCGCAAGACTTCCAAACCTGAGCGTCTATTTCTCAAAGCCGTTGAGGCTGTAGAGAACAGACAGGCGACTCGCCGTGAGGCCGCCATAATTGCAAGATTGCCTCTCTCAACATTCCAATACGGACTGCAAAAAAAATCCCAACCTCAAGCAGGGCTCAAATTTTTGTCGGCAGCGGAGGAAAACACTGTAGTCGAACTCATTGCTCGCTATGCTCACCGTAGATTTAATCTTCGACGTAATGATGTTGCCCTCGCCATCCAGGATCTCGTGACTTCTATGCCTTTAGAACGACAGAGACGTTTACCATTCAAAGATGGTAAACCTGGGCAAAAATATTTAAAAGCTTTTGCCCAACGACATGCAAGCCGAATCAAGTTCGGAAGGGCCTCCCTACAGGAACAGGCAAGATGGCGTGCGACGAATGCTGACAATCTTACCAAACATTTTGCTCGATTAGAGGCAATTATCCAAGAGCACAACACTGACGCCCCGCGAATAGCCAACCTCGACGAAACTGGAACCACTCCTGATGACGACTGTACTAAGTCGCCTCGGACTAAGAGCTACTGCCTTCGTGGAAGCTACGCACAACAGCAGGCACCTAAATTTTCTAACGTCAAGCGCATCACAATGATGCGATTTGTTTTTGCAGACAGTCATGTCGGGAGACCTTTATTCGCAATCCGGGGCACACAACTTAAGTTTCGGTTTGTTATCAAAAACGGTATCAGGGTTATGGAGACTGTAGCCGACTGCCTTCCCCGTGACAGCTTGATTACAACAAGACAAGAAGTGGCAAGTGTCGACTCACATAATTTCTACAACTGGGCTGCTGTCTTTGCCGAAGACATGAAGGGACTGACGGATAACGGTAGAAAAGTTTTGCTCATTCTTGACGGGTATCGCTGCCACATGGCCTACCCAATTCTAAAATTGCTTGAAACCCATGGTATCATTTTGTATGCCCTTTCCACGCATACCAGTGGGAGCACCCAGCCGCTCGACGTCAGCGTATTTGGTCCATTTAAAGAACATTTACGAAACTGCATTGAAGAGCTCGCCACTCCCTTTTCTACCAACGTTTATGATGTTTTTGATTACTTGAAGGTAATGAGAGAGGCGTACGGATTAGCATTCACTAGGAAGAATGTGCTCTCTGGATTTGAGAAGTCTGGAATTTGGCCGCTCAACTACAAAGCTTTGCTGAACACTCCCCGACCTGCATCTACAATCAACACGTACAAAATTTTATCGGTTTGCCAATTGGAAGAACTAATGGAGGGGCGTCGAGCGAGGAGGAGAGAAATTATGGGCATCCAACCTGTTGTCACCAAGTCTGGTTTTGTAGACACAACTAGTGGCCTCCTGTTAACGAGCCCTCAGACCATAGTATTGGCGAACCAAAAGCACAAGAACGATACGCTAAGGCTGGCCGCAAAAGAAAGGAAACTAGCAGAGTCTGCTCGGAAAGAAGCTGAAACTAGCGATCGTGTGCGTGCGGAGCGTTTGCGACATGATGCAAAAGCATTGGCGTTTAGAATTAAGCGTTATGGTGTCTGCGATAGAGCTCCAAAGCCGTTAGCGGTTCGTCGTCAAATTGCCAAGGAGCGAACTGCTGCGATGAAGGAACGCTCTGCCAAGTTGGCAAACATGCAAAGCACCCGACATTCAATCTCAGACAGTTAATTTGGGAATATTTTTGGATGCTTTATTTGCATCAGCCAATAAATTTTGTGTTCAAGTTTTGGGTTCTATTGGAGACCAATTTGGATGGCATGGAATGAGGAACCAATGGACGGACCGTGTCGCACCTGTTTTGATTGAGATTAGAGGGAATCTGTAAACAGATTCCCTCCACTCTAACCTTTCTATTGCACCTGAGACGGCCAGAAGCGAGTATTTTTAAGATTATATTCCAAAGGTGACTGTTGATCTGTTCAAAATTTGGGGACCCGAACTTGTACAACCTTTTACTTCGTCGTCTCTCTAGCCAGTCTCACTCCTAAGTTATCCGTCTCGCTGCTGGCTGTGATCGGACAGCCTATTGTGGTCGGTCTGTCACTGAGGGCCGCTTGTTTCACCTGTGCCGGCCTAAACACTTTCCCTTTTGCCAGTGGTTATCTCCCACATATTAACCGATGCCCCTTGCGGAGACGGTGTTTTTAATTGGATTGAGTGACGACGCCGACGTTCCGTAAAGGAAGAGGGAAGGACAATGTCGGATGGCAGACTTGGCAGGCCGCCGCTTGGCGCGAAGGAGGAGGGTGTCAATGTGGCGATGGTTTGAGGTATGTATGAGAGGGGAAGGATACTAAGGATACTGGACTACAGTTGGCACTCAGGTGCATTATTCTTCTCACACGTGTGGACCCGCGTACGTGTCCCATTCGCCTCTGAACATGGCCCTCAGGGCCATTCCATTCATCGTGATTGGCAATCACGCAATCACGCAATCACGTCAATAAATGGTGCCTGCTCCCTTGTGGTTGGTTGTTTATATTACGTTTCCTAAAAAATGGTCATGCTCATTAAAGAAATAAACAATCGACTTAAAATTAATCTTGTGCTCCAACTTGCTGAACGACGTTAAATTAATGTCGTGATCGCGTGATTGCATGATTGCATGATTGCCAATCACGATGACTGGAATGGCCCTCATTTCACTATCAATCAACCTGTCACGCCGCACAGTACAGTTGTGAGAAGTGGTACAACGTTCACACGTAGTACAGATATGTCGTACGTGTGGAAGCTTCTAAAGAACACAAGAGCATATCATGCGTTCGTAATTCGAATGCCGACCGCCGGCAGGTGTGCGCAAAGGTCGCGGTGCCACGCACACTATCTATCGAATGCAATTAGATAGTGGCATTCGCCACGCCGGTTGAATGAAGCAATTGGGGCACCCGACGGCAATTAGCCTTGAGAGGAGGGACAGGCAGTCTCTTCTCCAAGGGTGTATCTGGAGCCATATACATCAGCCTCAGCAACGAGCAGCGGAAGGCGAGCGAGGAGCACGCAGCAACTAATAAAGAAAGAGCAAGCAACGCTCGGGCTTTTTGTGCCTGTTCCACGTGTCTGTTACACAACGCCATACTAACAGTTCGGAGTGCCCCTACACTGCGCGCAAGATTAGTATGTCAGAACTGAATCCCACAGTTATGGGCCCAGGCGCTCATGCCGGACATATTAATCTCTATGAACCACCCAAGTTAAGAATGAACAGTGACAAGTTTATGTGGCGCCAGGCAGTTCGTACATGGGCAATGAAAATAAGGTCTTTTGCTAAGGGAGGAGACAACAAAGCCAAAGGCATTGCGAACAG